TTGACACACAAGTGAAGTTCCTGCCATTACATACGTCATAGCTTGAGTGGTTACAATGCTATTTGGGAACAATTAGTTGTGTGTCTTTGACAGTGAAGAGGACGTCTGTTGAAAATCTGAAAATTTTAGTTGGTTTGACTGAAGCCAAAATATAGGATATATGGCAAAAGATGTTTTTGTTTGTTTGTTGTTTAACACCGCACTAAGCAATATTCCAGCTATATGACAGCGGTCTGTAAATAATCGAGTCTGGACCAGACAATCCAGTGATTGACGTCATGAGCATCGATCCATGCAATTGGGATCGATGACACGCATCTACCAAGTCAGCAATCCTGACCACCCGATCCCGTTATCAGATCCGCGCCCAGAGTTAACTCCCTGCAAAAAAAAAGCATATCTTTGACTTTTTGTACCAACTTTAACCTAACAACGTGCAGCCAGAATCTCTCCAAACTCATCAGCAGCAAGTGGGCTAATATGAAGCTGGTACCCCCAAAACTGCCAAGGCTCAAAGACTTAAGGGCAGATAATTCAAAATCATTTCATTTAAATCAAAACCAATAGTTCAATGGCTTCTTAATTTCGCATGCAACACCAGCAACAAATGACTATCAATTCCATTTCAGATTTTGATTGAAACTGGCAAACAAATTTTACAAATGACCTTCAATGTGACCTTGACCTCACTCAATATTTTTTTTCGGAATGGACCCCATACAAGGCTAAAATGTACCAAATGTCATCAATCTACAGTATTGCTTGAGGTGGAAAACAAAACATTTCAGGCTATGTCTTTGAGTATGACCTTGAACTTTGACAATACTGAACAAAATGCCAAAAAGGGATTTATCAGACTCTGACACCTATACATGATGTAGCCCAAGCACTACATAGTTTCAACACCCGTGCCACTTTGAGTAGTATATGTTGGAGTCCCCAAATGTTGTCTGTTATAAAATTGTTCAAGAATTTAAAGAATTGACAAAGAGACCAGCAGTTCCACTGATGCATTACCACTTTCAACTGAAAAGACAAAGAGTACTCTGGCATAGTCCATCAAGGAGAAATAGCCCATCTGAGGTAGTTGAAGATCACATAACTCATGGCTCAACAAATCTCCCAAAGATCAATGACAAGGTGAAATATCTTCTCAAGGAAGATCAGTTGTGGAGGGAGGCTGAAGTTATTCAGTAGAGGAGAAGAGGAGGAAAAGCAACTGGAAAATACAATGGGTGGTTTAATGTGTGTGAGAGAGGTGAATTGAATATGAAAAATATATCAGTCAGTGGAAAAAGGTTAAAAAAATTGAAAGTGAAACTATTAGCAACATTGAAGAAGTGAATATTGCATCCTCTTGACATGATGAACAGTATGTCACATGTGCCAAGGCATTGGAGCTTGAAAACTGGAAACAATTCAAAGTATATGAAGAAGTACTTGATCAGGGGCACTCAGTGATATCCACTAGATGGGTGGCAACAGAAAAGATGGATGGTGACAGAAAAGAAGTGAAAGCAAGATTTGTAGCTCGGGGGTTTGAAGAAGAACACAACATTCAGAGTAATTAGCCAACAGACGGAAAAACAAACTTAAAGCAGTTTTGGCTGTGGCATGTTTAATGTCATGGCAGTGGGAAACAATAGACATTAAAGCTGCTTTCTTACAAGGGGAAAAAGATTCAGAAATCTTCCTGAAGCCTCCAAGAGAATCTGATAGTGATGGATACTTGCGGAAACTGGAAAAGTGTGTCTATGCGATGCTTCAAGAACCTGGTACTTTAGAGTATGTGAAGAACGAAAGATTGCAGGCCAAACCAGGCCAGACATCATGTTTGATTCACTAGAGCTGGGCACAAGCATGAAAAACCAACAGGAGAAGACATGATAAAAGCAAACAAAATTGTGGAAAAGTTGAAGTTTGAAAACTGCAAGGTGTGTTTCCAAAATATCCAAGAAAAATATGCCCATAGATTGTAATATAGACAACAAGTCACTTGATGAAAATGTACATTCCACAAAGGCTGTCAGTGAGAAGCATCTCAAGATAGATATTGCAGGCATCAAACAGATGGTACAGAGGGTGAGATCTCGAAGGTAGTATGGGTTCAATCCTGTGATCAGTTGTCAGATTGTCTGACAAAGAGAGGCACACCCTCCATGAAGTTCCATGAAACCATCAAAAGTGGACAACTCGTGATCACAACAAAATAGACTTGGTTTATCTGGAACAACTACTGAAAGTTATCCATGCTCGTGTTTGCAACGGAGAAAAAAGAAGAAGAAAAGAACTTTATTTTAGTATTTTAATATGATTGTCATTATAAATAACCATATTTTAACTTGGTGCGCTTGCTCGTCATTTTAACTAAAAATTCATTATGAAAAAAACAGGAATTTGTCAACATACCGCAGATACACAACTACCGGAATCACGAATTGCTGGAACTAACTTTGTATGTCATGTAGTGAGTCTGTCTGTGTAACCCCCTCACTCTGTCCACAAGCGCTCATGGCTGTGGCATGCATAAATGCTATAGAAGTCAGAAGGAGTTGAGAGTTTTCATATTATGTGATTTTAAATTTCTCACCAAATTCTGTACTAAATATTTTTGGAAGCTAAAATATTTATTTTTTCATGTAGAGTAACATAAAATGAAAAATAATGAAATACTGCAACAATACTGGATAAATGAATTTATCACAACTCGTTCCTGAAAAATGGCATACTCAATGTCACAATGTTGAAGGTTCGTAAAGACGTTTATAAAATCTCACAGATACATACTTTATCAAATAATACAACTTTGCTGGTTGAAGGTTGTAACTAACCATTTCTATTGAGCAAAAACTCCACCCCCTAGTGGAATGTCACCTGGATGAATAATAGACAGTATTATTCAGTATAGAGGCCTTTCGCACAAAATAAATTCAAATACAGAATAATATTTACCTGCGCAATATACTTGGATTAATATACACAACATATATTAAACATATATAGGTAAAAACAATGTGAATATGTTAGCAACTATGCATAATGGCCAATATACATGATATGATATACCTGAGATCTCCAAGCATCTCGTCTCAAAAACAAAATGTGGCAGCAGAAGTGGTGGTCAATTTCAGAAAAAATGTAAAGTTTCTTAAAATACTAAAGTTATTGTGTAAACAGGCACTTTTTACATATCATTCGCACTAAGTTCCCTTGACCTTCAACATCATCCAATCACAAGCGAGAACATTACTTGTGGCAAACTAAGAAAGTGTTACGAATATGAAATCTCCATACTATACTGACATTAAAGGGATGTAACTAAACATGAAACATTCACTGGCCCGATTAGTGAGGGACATATGAGACATATGAGGGACCCCTAAAGAGATTATTAATCAAGACTATATTAGTAAATATTCTACTAGTCCTCAGCTTACCCTTAACATTTAATAGATAAACTGACTCAGGCTAATGTCAAGGTCCTATCATGATATAACATTTATACTAAGTTTTCCTATAATAATTAGATCCACATCAAGTGTTTTTATGAGTTATCATGGTGTAATATTTTTACAACATTTCATATAATTATAGTTTAGCAAGTAATACTTATCATCAGGTAAAATGCATATATAAAATGTCAGTAGTTTCAGTTATTGCTTTTTAGATAGATGCTAGCCTAAAGTAACGAGAACACATCTCCTAGACATACTATTCAATAAGACAAAAGTTATGTCTACATAGTTTAATAGATTTAAAGCTTTTAGATAAATACTAGCCTAAGGTATCAAGATCCCATCTCCCAGACATAATATCCAATAAGACAAAAGATATGTCTACATAGTCTTATAGATTGCCTTGAACTATTTCATTTAAGTAAATCTGTCATCACCTATATTAGAATAACATTCAGCAATTATTTCAATTTTGACTCATTAAGGATTAGCCCCCATACAAGCTCGTCAATAGTGACGCCATAATCTCTTCCAAGCACCCAGTAAATATGTCAACAAGATTAGTGCCAGTCCAACAGGATTAACAGGATTAATTATTCCCCTCTGTCTAGCCATTCATTAACCATAAGGCACACCCCATCGTGTATCAACCAATCATATTCCTTTTTATTGTTCTAAGTTTTGTTAAAGACATACAGATGCAAAATGTTGGGCAGAAGGGGTTTGTCGCAGATCTCTCTCCCACAGCCCAGAGGGTTGCACCGACTCTCTGTGGCACCCTCAGCTATATTCTAAGATATTGTAAATTTTTCATTGTTAATTGTTCTTTTGAATATAATTGTGATTAGTCTCCTGTGACTCCGGCTCTTTGCTGACTAATTCCCCCAAGAAAAAACCAGCAGGCCATTTGGAAGGTTTTGTTCATCCGAACAAACCATAATAGTCCATCCCTGCAATACTTTCTGAATGAAACAATTTTGAGTGTTTCACACTATTGAGAGTCTTATCATAATTGATCAGAAAATGAATTAACCTTAATTTGTCTGAAATTTGAGAAAGGTTTTATAATCACCAAGTTTCATCAGATCTTTAATACTCAAGTTATTTTGTACATCTTTTTTGCTCTGAGATCATACTGTGTGACCATGTCACCTCGTCACCCACTCCTATGGCAGAAAATATCCCCAAAGGTATAAAGGAGACAAGTCAGATACAACATCTCTAACATTTTCATTACCATGTAACTGAGAAAATTCATTGCCGAGTCTTTTGAGCAAAACTAAGCAGCTCCCATCTCTTAAAGATGGCTGTTTAATATAAAGTATGGTGAAAGGGTTTACCATGTAAGTTAATTAAAGGTGAATTGTTTTTCAGGTGATAAAATCTACAGAATGACCCCCATTTCAGACCAACTTTCCCTTTGGTGCAGTACTGAGAGGGTGTCATTACAAGGCATTGGCAGGAAGCTGTCAATGATAACAGACTTACAGAGGCAATCAGATGGTGTCATGAAGCTCATTGAAAATTTGAAAAACATAGGCTTACTATCTGAAGGTGAAGTTCCACCAATCTCCCGTTGTCCAACATACAGTAAACCATTTGGTCCAACAGAACGTATTTCTTGATTGCAAAGGACCTTTGATGATGCCTGTTGAAAGAATTCAAAGACAAAGTCAACTTTGGAAATTTATTCTAATTGGACAATCAAAGGTTTAATCACAAAAACGTTTCTGATCAAATCAGCAAATTCATATGAATCATCCTTAATTTTCCAGTGTATTCTTTCTCCTATTTATTATTATAAATAAATATACTGTACCCACTTTCCAATACTGAGTCAAAATGCTAACAGTAGCCCACTTATCCAATTACACTCATGTGGGAGTGAAATAATGTGTGAAGTGACTGATCAGAGAAATAGTGAGGATGATTAGATGTTATACTAGGAAGCATAGATATATCTATATTCACACGGAAAGGAACACTAGGATGTGACTGATAGCCCGCTGTCTGACACTGTCTTCCAAAGCTCATCAGTTGCTTGGCTAATTTCTGGAAGAAAACTGGATTAAAATTGGAACTAATTCCTATACTGATTTCTGAAAGCTAATTGGCTAGTGCACACTTTAATTGCATTACAAAAGTAGCTTGTAATTGTTGCAATATCCAGTAATGACTGGTCCCTATCACCCTTACTGTCTATTGTTTGCGAGTAAAGGATTTTGATGATTTCTGGATTAATTGTGCATTTTGGTAAATGGACACATCACACGATTTTCACACTCAATTTCATAACTCATAAACATAATGGATGGTCAGGAAGAAGATGAACATGACGAGCATGTGGGCGTGCAGATACCACATGGTAAGAGAATGCTGTTGTCTAATTTGACACCTCCATCGCTGCTGTAAATGTCGGGGATTTGGTAGATGATTGGAGAACGTGGAAACAGGCGTGGCAGAACTTTGTGATTGTCTCACAACTAGATGATAACCCAATGAATTATCAAGCTGCTGCTTTATTGCATTCTATAGGAACTGATGCACTAAAAGTCTACAGTGCAATGGAATTCTTGCCGGAAGAACACAGGGATGTGACTATTATAATGGTCAAGTTTGATTAACACACAATTGGAGAAACTAATGAGACGTATGAACAATACATTTTGAACAATCATGTACAGGCAGAAGGAGAAACTTTTGAAGAATATCTCACAGCTATTTGCACACTCTGTCAGAGCTGTAACTGTGGTGAATGTTTACATGAATGTCTACGTGAATCACTATTAAGGGACAGAATAGTGACAGGGATCAGAGACCCTTACACCAGGAAAAGTGCTGATGGTGCTGTGCTGTTACAACAAGACAAGCCAATTGCATACGCTAGCCGTATCCTAACACCAGCTGAGTCTGGGTATGCACAGATTGAAAAAGAAATGCTGTCTGTTTTCGGACTTCAAAAATTCCACACATACACATTTGGTCAGAAAGTTACAGTGGAAAACAATCATAAACCACAAGGCAATCACCAACAAACCCTTAGTTGTGCTCCAAGACGACTATACAGTCTATGATTCTGGCTATGCAACAATGTGAAGCCACTATCAAGTCCAAGAAAGTTGCAGATGTTGTCTTTGCAGACACATTGTCAGGAGCATTAACTGATGACAGGATAAAGCAGATCAGAGAAGAGACTGAAATTGTAATGGTTTTCCTTTGTCAGCCAGATGCCTCCAACGTTGAGGAAGAAACAAGAACCAGATTACTCTAGACTTAACACTGGGCCATCATTTAGGCTGCCGACACCAAGTACACCAAAGGAGAAAGGCTGGAGAAGTTCTCAGCTTTTTGATGTAAAGATTGTCGATTCTAAAAAGGATGCAGATGGAACTGATGTGGTTAAAGTCCACTACATATAGGGTTTTCCACAAAGTATGACCAGTGGGTGAAGGCATCTTCCACTGTAACAAGGTCATCCCTTATCAGCAGTGACCCAAAAGATGTTTTTCTTTTTAATGTCTTGTCCATGGTGAAGGACTATCACACTGTTTCCAGAGGGGTAGATTCAAAGGTTGTTATTCGGATACCAATAGCATCTCCAGATGTGACCACCTCACTCACTGATATTGCCCAAAATGTTTCACCAAGGTCCAGTTATGTAAGACATGAGTTCAGGTTCAATGATGTCCATGGACCAGACATCTAATTTGGAAATTATTGGTGGTACAGAATTGTTAACAAAGCAAATGATTTTGCTTATGTCAATAGGGAAACAGTTTTGTTTGGTTACTATGAGAGAAAATAGCGTGAGGAGTACACCCTGAACAATGAGCTCAAGCTTGTTCATAGAGGATTCATGTTTTTCTTCAGATTTGTCAATGAAAAGTGTAACAGAAATTATCTGTGTCTCTTAAGGTGCATACTGAACAACTAACTGAATGAACATGTGTCAAGGCCTTTGCCTTAAGCTGGTTGTGAATCTTAACTCAAGAAAGCATTTTTTCTACTCTCTCACATATTTGTTGAAATCTGCCCACATTTAACAAAATTCATGTTTCAGATTGTTAACTTACTTGAGACAGATATTGGGAACAAACGTTTAATACTGTTGGTAAAATAAGTTTGAATTCTTGTATAACTATAATTTGCCATTGAAAGAAGATTGTTTCAGTACACAGTGCTTCAAGAAATCTTTGAATGTAATCAATTTATCTGTATTATATAGCTTAGGTATGAATTTCCCAACCATTTTGTCTCTGTTCTATTGTGTTACATACTGCTCAATCATGCCACTTAACAACATGACTAGGAGATCAGGAATGACTGGCATATCAGATGTATTTAATGTAAGTGTATCAAAACTGACACTTTTTCAAGAATATAAGAGATTAACACCGGTGAAAAAACACATTTTCACCTGATATATGCAATGAAGTAATAACTGTTCTTTGCAGACAAAATCAAATTGACTGCAGTATTGTTAAGTATATGGCAAAATGTCATCTACAATGGCTTCATATTTGAGAAAGCTTATTTCAAAACATGATACAACTAGATGGAAGGGTGGGAAGCAGTATAAGGCTCTGTTAGGTACATGGGAGAAGGAACAATATTCCTTTTAAGTATTTGTGTCTGAACACAATATAAAAACATTAAAATCAAAATTGTTAAAAAGAGTGTCTTATCTACACAAGTACAATTAAATCTTCTCTTCGGAAGGCCAAATCCTTACTTTTACAAAATGTAAATCTAAGGGAAAAGGTTCAATTGCTATCCACAAAATTGTTAAATGTACAACAAGGAAACTTGCTTTCAGGTGTGTCCAATAGAGGCTCATTGAAATTGCACTTTCCTTGTGGGTAGGTGTCCAGGTCCCAACAGTATAAAAGGAAACATATGATTGTAAGAGACTGTAAACAATCTTTTGCATTTTTGGACAGATGTGAGCTTGAACCTACTTCAGTACAAGCTCTAGACAATGAAGGAAGGCAAATCCAGATATCTATGAAGAACATGGTCAAAGAAATCTTTCCTCCTAATGTGGAGTTGAACAAAGTTGTTTATGTGAAAGATTCAGAAGATATTTCAAACAAGGCTTACCATGAACTATCAATGATAGTACCTACCCTTCCAAGATCTCACAAAGTTCTTAAAAAAATTCAAGGAATGTAACGAAAATGTTTTAATTCATGACACACCACATCCAAGCTTTGGGGTTCAGCAGTCTTTGAAAGAAAGACTCATTAGCTGTGTTTCACATATTCTAGAAATGAAACATGACACCACCAACATTTTACAAACAAAACTTATTCGTGTGAAACTTACAGGTGATGGAACACAGTTTGGGAGAAGGAGAACTTTTATCAATTTTGGGTTCACAATACCAGATGATGTGCTGTGTACTTTAGTAAAGGGGAACCATCTGTTAGCAGTATTTTCTGCAAAGGAAACTTATGATTGTGTTTCAACTGCACTTTTTCAAATTATTGAAGAAGCTAAGAACTTAGAATACATTCATCTTGATGGTGTGTGTTTTCAAATCGAGTTTTATCTGGGAGGGGATTTGAAATTTCTCAATATGATCTCTGGAATTGCGTCCTGTTCATGTAAACACAGTTGTCTGTTTTGTAAATGTTCGGCTTCAGACAGACACGATACTACTTTGCAGTGGTCAGTGACTGACGTGAACCATGGGGCTAGAACAATAGAGGAGATCATTGTTTTGGCCAGAAAGAAATCACAAAATTTGAACTGTGTCCACACTCCCCTCTTTGATTTTATACCTCTCTGGAGGAGAGTACCTGACATGTTACACCTGTATCTTCGTATTTCTGACCAACTGGTGAAGCATTTGATATCAGAACTCAGGTTAATGGACAACATTGCCAGATGCACCAGTATTTACACCAGAGGCAAGTGCTCTAATGTATCAAAATTTGAAAATTTTGTTAAAGGATTGGGAGTTGATTTTCAATTCAGAAATGATAGGGAGTCTGGTAGGTTTAGGTTTAGAGATTTTACTGGTCCTGAGCACAGGAAAATTGCAGAGAACATAATCTACTTAAACAAGAAAGATTTGAACAGAGTGAAGTTTTAGCTCTTGATGAGAGATGTAAAAGGTGGGTGGCCACTTTTGGACTTGTTTACCAAAGCAAAGATGTGACGCCTTATATGCACATTTTGGCATATCACATCACAGATATGCTTAAAATACATGGTAATTTGGTGACATTCAGCCAACAAGGATTTGAAAAGTTAAATGACAGTACAACTAAATGGTATTTTCGTTCTACTTCTCATAAGGGCAGGGCAGATCTCAAACAAATCATTCTGAAACAGAATAGGCTTGAATCCCTTGAATGTTGTAAAAGAGTTGTACTGAAAGCAAATTGCTCGGTGTGTGACAAGTGGGGTCACAATAAAGGGTCATGTGACCTGAGTGACTGAGACATTGTAGTGGGCAATTTGTAGGAGTATATTACTATAACAGGAACTGTTTAATGCAGTGTGATAGTATAGCACCAGTGCTTTCTTGAGTGTAGATGCACTTCGTCTTCTATCTTGTTCTATGTTGAGGACATACGTTCGGAAAGTATGTGGTATACATTTATTATACATTGTCATTGTTCAGATTGAAACAAGATAAGT